CATTTAGTAACAAGACGTGAAGAGCTGCCCAGCCCCTCAGCTTGCAACCCCGTCTGCCGTCACTCTCATGTTAGGAGACTAGGGCACGGACTGTGTCTTCCCATGGACGCCCCCAGCAATAAGAGGTTCCCCCTTGCAAACCCGGAGCCTTCTAGCAAATGGGGGCCAGAACCTGCCTGCAAACCTAGAGGCAATGCCAATGACTGCTGACGTATCTGCTCTAGGAATTATTCTCTGGCCTGTGTTGTGCGGGGATCAGACTGGATGATCGCAGCGGTCCCGTCTCACCTTGGAATCTACGAATAGCCCCCTCTGCCTGTCCGGTCCTCACCCTTTGCCCTGTGTGGTGCCTAGTCTGTCTCTCTGGCGGTGTGCTTCCCTCAGCGCTATCCCAAGCTCCACGCTGAGCCGCGACTGATGGATGGACTGACGCAGCCTGGCAACACTCAGGCCAGGTCTCCGCTACCACGTACATCGGTAGAACTATGTCGCTCAGGGGTGTGAAAAATCCACCCCCCTGAGGAATGCAACCTAGTCCCTGGTGTAGACAGCGCTGCGTTGGCGGGAGAGCTTTCTAGCACATTCCACCATCCTTTTCCGCACACCGCTGCACAGAAGGGCTCCGAACCAGGGGGACAAAACCACATCTGTGGTGTGACAGGCCGTATCGCAAGAGTTGTTACTGGGACTGGCTCTAACACCCGCAGAACACAGGCAGTGCCATGGCAGGAGGAGACCCCACCCTCTGTTTCCCCAGCCCAGTTTCCTGTCCCATCCAGGAACAGATGAATCTTCAGAGGAAGGTGCACACACTTTATTTTTACCCAAACAACTTGGTGAAACTGGCATGAATTTGCAAAATGTTTTGGTGTTGTGCTGACTCTGCCCTTTTCACTGAAAAAAGGTTTTGGCCAGCCGAAAAATTTTGCCCAGCTCTATCTTAGCCCTGGTCTACACTACAAATTTACTTCAGTATAACTACCTCGCTCAGGGATGCGAATGCACGTGGCTATATGAACCTAAGCACCAGTGTAGACAGCAGGTGGATTAACTAAGCTATCAGAAGTTCTCTCCTGTTGGCTTACAGCATCTTCCTTAAAAGTGCTACGGCAGTGTGGCTGCATGCCAATGCAGTGTTTTAAGTGCAGACCTGTCCCTAACCCCAGTTTTTGTTCTGCCCTCTTTGGGGCTTTCCTGTCTGCAGTGACAGGCATCCTTTTGTGTGCTGAATTCAGTGCAGATTCTCACCCCAGACACACACACACCGCTCTCTCCCCTGGAGATGTTAATTTCCGATTGGTTTCCTTAATCTAAAATTATTTTCATCTGGAACTGAAAGTAACTGGCTCGTTTTTTTTGTCTGGGAAAAAACGAACACCTAGAGCCTAGAAAA